AATGATGATTTTGCCCCTATTTTTTTATTTTTCAGATTTTTATTATTTTTATTAATTTCTTTTTCCATTTTCTTATTTATTTTTCTAATTTTCAGATTAAAAAAAAACCCACCCATACTACTACACCCACCCACTATCTCTTTAACATACATACTACCTATCTCTCTCACTCCACTATGTCGTTGGAAACCATCGCCATCAGACGGAAAACATCACCACCTGCATGAAACAAAAAACGTCACCCACCATAAACCGCCGCCACCTGCTGGAAATCATCACCACAGTCACCACTCCCGGTGCCACCCTCTTTCTCTTTTTTCTGGTGCTTCGATCACCTTCTCTATACAACCATCAGAGCAGTCAAAATGCTCGTCGGAAAGAGTGAGGGTTTCAAATCTATCGTCAGAAAACCCTAAATGGCTGGTGGTGATGGTTCTATTTACAGATCTGGGCAACAGAGAAGACGAAGAACTCCCATTCTCTCTCTCCCCCTCCGTCGTTCTTGACAGCGCCATCGTCTTCGAATCAGACCTGTTCGTCTCCGAAGACGGTGGGGAGTTGGAGCTCAGAAGAAGATGGTCGTGTTACAGATCTTCGGTGTTCCAGATCTACGACGAAAAGATCTTCAAACAAGATCGGCGAGAAAGGGTTTCACAGCAAAACTCCAACAAAATCAGAAAGAGATGTTTTAACGTCGAGTAGGCAACGCCGGAGAAGGAGAGAGACGGTGGAGAGAAAGAGAGACGGAGTGAAGAGAGAACAATGGTTGTGGTGGCGGTTTCAGGGTGGTGTTGGTGGTTCAGGTCGCGTTCCGGTGAGAAGAGGGAGATCCGGCGAGAAGGGCGATGGTCCGACAGTTCAACCTTTGTCGGAGTCGGAGGTTCGGTGATGTGCAGGATTAGAGTTTCAGTGTTCTTCATATGTAATGTAGAAAGAGAGAGAATGAATGGGGTGGGGGATAAACACTCAATATTTTTTTATTAGTTGTTGTTATATAAAAAAATGGAAAAAAATTAATAAAAATAATAGAAAAACTGAAAATTAAAAAAATAGGGGCAAAATTGTCATTTGAATAAAGTTTAAAGCAAATTGGACCAAACTCGCAACAAAATGAAAAGTTTGGACCTGTGGTGCTAGTCCAAACCTTTTTGGACCTTTTGAGCTAACAGAGGGACCATTTGCTCATTTTAGTCTAAAAAAAATAAGAGTCAACTTTTGGAAAGACTACAAAAGAGAAAACAAAATTTAGGCCATCCACCTAGACGTAGGTCCTAGGGGATGAACCCCACACCCCACAAGTATTCATAATAGGTGAAGATAATTCTTGCTGTGACTTGAAGATAACTAAAATTTGGTAGACCCAGAGATACAGTTAGTTTGCACATTTCATCCTCCTTTATTTTTTGTCTTTGCAGGAAAATACACGCATTTAACCTTACATTCCCTTCTCTTCTTTCATCTATCGCGTGATAGAGTGAGCCCCCCCACCTCCACTCCCTCCTTGTTGCTATCACACTCTGGAGTAGATTGGCATCTTCTTCTTGGTCCTTATATTGCTCTCATTTTCGTTTTCTTGAAATAAAGGTACAACCTTTTTCTTCCCACCCACCTTCGTATGTTCTTATCACAAGTACTTTTCGATTTTGATTTGTATAAAGTATTTATTGGTAGAATTTAATCCCCATTCCCCCCTCCATATTTTAGGTATTCAAACTTAAACCTCAAGAAATCCAAGAAAATACGTGGGATTGTTCCAATTCAAACAAAGATGTCAACTTTTTACCAAGATACTGTGGATTAAAATATAGGGTTTTCACATTTTTCACATATTACCTTTTCATTCAAGAAAAAAGATTTTTAGTCCAATCATTAATCTCCACATATAGTGCTCTGAAGAAGTTTCGTTGAATCGATTCACTTATGGGTCCTTTTACTTTTTATAATGAGAAATTCTATGGTCATCTTATGTGTTTTCTGTGTGATCACACCGGCCTGCCTGCCTGCCAAATAACATACAGCTAAGCAATTTGATATGCTTTATGAACACCCAATTGACTTGAGATTGCTATGATGATAGATGATTATCTGCTGTACGCATCTGTGCCTTTTTTTTTTTTTTTTTGCCTAACTATGCCTTTTTTATCAAGTGGGGTCTTTAAAAATCTTTACTCTCAATGTGGTTTGCAATATTTTAATTGATTTTAGTACTATTTATAGTTTTATACTAATTATGTCTTTATCAAATGTGTTTTACTCTGATTGATTGGATTTTTTATAATATATGTCTAGATATTCCGGTGAAACAAACCTAATTTTAGTTGTTGTGTGACTGATGAGCTGACATAAGCTTCGACTGGGGACCGTGTTGAAGATATATTTAACTAATCCTTAATTGGTAACTAGCTATCATAAAATAAGCAATTAGATTGCAAGATTTAGGAGGTCAAAATTTCAATTATTATAATTACTTAAAGTCAAATGATTTGTGTGGCTTGATGCACTCTTGTCGAAAGTTAAGGGTGTGTTTTCCATCAAAATCCAACTGTGCTACTGTATATTAGTTGTAGTGAAAGCGATGTCTAGTTTTTTAACGGGACTTGTGGGTTGCCTTCATCACTGTATTCAACAAGATTATGTTTTCTTATTTATTTTTTTGCAGAAAAAGATTAGGTGTGACCGTGTGACCAAGTAGAGAAGGTCAAATTTGACTTTTCATCCTAGTTGAGTTATGGGTGTTTGCAAAATTGACCATAACTTGTATGTTTATTTCAATTTGGCTTCACTTCCATAACTACTCTCATTATTGTCCTTTTGAAACACAACTTAATTGCAAACGATAGTTTTTTTTTTTGTCATTTTCAAAAGAAGGATGGCTAATTTGCTAATTGCTATGAAAAGTCATGCATTGTGGTTCAAAAAGTCAATTAGTATCTATTAAACCATCTTTGCAATCTATTCATTAAGAAAACAACATTGAACATCCTTTCAAAAACCGTGGATGGTCAAAGTTTCCAAGGATTCAGTTCAGGGCTAGTATGGTCTTTTTGAAAATTTAATATATAATATATGGCCAAGTTGTGCATGTGTAGAGTATTTTTATAATATTTATACGCATTAGAACGAGCGTTCTACGATGCATTGGAACAAATAGTGGGCCCTCCTTATAACATTGTTTATTGAGAATCTCCCATAATATACATATATATACGCACTACACGTTTCCAGTGCTCGCAAAATCTACAACAATTTTTTTTTTTAAGATTTATTTTCTTCTGAAACAATGAAAACCCGAAGAGGAAAGCGCTCTGAGGTAGGTTTTGACTAATCTAGTAATCTTTATTACTTCTGAAGGCCAAAAATGGTGAAAAGTTGTGATCTTTTTTATTATTTGTAGGCATTCTGGCCATCAATGGTGATGAAGAAGTGGTTAAACATTCAGCCACAGAATAATGATTTTAGTGAAGATGAAGTTGATACAGAGACTGAAAGTGAAGATGATGGTATATACAGACCTAAAAAAACATCACTTTTACACTCTTTTGATTCCTTCTAATCGTTATTGTTTCTTATTGATTCCCAGTTTACTCTCTTAAAAACGAAAGAAATCATTTTGATAAGAAATGTGTTCGAAGAACACAGAGAAATATGTCTTCGTGTACAAGTCATACCTTAGATGGTAACCATCTCTTTTTCACTGTTCTTGTTTTTTTTTTTTTTGGACTTTTTTCCATCGTGGGTATGTCACAAGAACTGCCGCATTTTCCTTTTCTGGAAAATCCCTGGAGTAAAATTACCTATAAGCCCGCCATACCAATCTCTTACAAGACTCGTTTTGGTTCAGTTTGATGCAGAAACATAAGGGTTTTTGGTCTTTTGATCCCTTTGAAAAAGATGGTCTTATGTGTTTTTATGTCGTCTAATAATTTGATGTTTCTATAAATTCAGGCATGCCTGGAAAAGGGGTGATAAAACATAAGAGGGGGAAATCAGAGACATTACGCGTTCATTATATTAAACCAAAAGATGTGAGGTTTGGCTCTTGAATCTAGACATCAAAAATCGTCTGTTTTTGCCTTTCTTTTCTTCTTTTTCTTTCATATAAATAAAAGAGATCGATTTTTGAATTAACGTGTCACCTGTTGTTAAGCAGGATGACAATTGGCACATGGAATGTTGCTGGAAGGCTCCCTAACGAAGATCTTGAGATCGATGAGTGGCTCTGTATGGATCAACCATCTGATATATACATTCTTGGGTAATAATCCAATCCATAAAATCATAAATTCGTAAAGCATAAAGTTTGACTTTTGAAGTCAAACGCTTAAGATTTCAACTCCTGAATTGATGCGAATTCTTTAAGCTTTTACGCTGTATTCGCGTACTAACCTTAAAGTTACAGCATGTACTAAAAAGGGCAGAAGTTGTTTATTAAATCCGTATATAGTATTCACATGAATCTCTGTGAATCTTGAAAGTAATCGGTTTGACTTTGATTAATTTACAGTTTTCAAGAAGTTGTCCCTTTGAGTGCTGGGAATGTACTGGGAGCTGAAACACGAAGGCCGATATCAAAATGGGAGGCAATTATTCGTAAAGCTTTGAACAAATCACCAGAGCCAATCGCCATACCTAAAAGCTTCAGTGCTCCAAATTCACCAATCTCAAACGACAATGGCGAATTAAGCTCCATCAAGATAAATCTCCCCGAAACAAAAGTTATCAATAAACTTGACTGGCCTGAAAAAGCTTTAGACCTAAAACCAAAAGTTCTTTCAGCTGGTGCAAAGCTACGAAGGGTTTTAAGCAGCAATGCAAGAGTCTGTAGTTCTGATTGGTTAGCACCTCAAGATAACACCTTCACCGGAGGGTTAAAAAGGGTGCACCATAGCTCAGGCGACCTGGGTATGCTCTGGAATGAGCAGGAAGAAAGAACAGACATGGTCGACTCGCTTGATGATGTGTCAGAACAAGTTTTGGAAGAGGAAGATGACTTTTTTGGAGACACAACGGAATTGGAGCATGAGAATTCGCCTTTAGATGATCAAGTAAACTCGCATCATAGGTAAAACTAAACACACTTTTTTCATTTTCTTTTTGGTTCTTCAAGAATCAAAGTGGCTAACAAGTAACACCCTTCTTAACATATCAGGTATGTACGAATTGTTAGCAAGCAGATGGTGGGCATATACATCTCGGTTTGGGTTCGTAAAAGTCTACGAAGACATATAAACAACTTAAAAGTGTCACCAGTAGGCGTTGGGCTTATGGGTTACATGGGTAATAAGGTAATTTCACTAATTAATTTCGTCGCTAAGATTTTTACTTTTTTGATTTTTCTCACTGCTTCCTTAAAAAGTAAAAACTAAATACTGGTTTACGAATTAGGGGTCGGTTTCTGTAAGCATGTCTCTGTATCAAACAAGGCTATGTTTTGTTTGTTCTCATTTGACATCGGGACACAAGGATGGGGATGAAGAGAGACGGAATTCGAACGTATCTGAGATCTTGAAAAGGACTCGTTTTTCGTCTGTTATAGATCCCGATCAACCTCAAACAATTCCATGTCATGAGTAAGTAAACTTTTTGAAATAAATACGATACTTTTTTTTATAAAATCATTCGTGGGATTATTTGTAACGTTTGTCGGTTTCACAACACAGTCAGATATTCTGGTTTGGAGACTTGAATTATCGTATCAATAAGCAGGATGCAGAGGTCAGAAAGCTCGTTGCCATGAAACAGTGGGATGAACTGCTCTATAGCGATCAGGTACTCAAGATTTTGGTTCTTTTTTTTTCCATTAATATCTGAAAAGATTAAGTCATGTCCTTATTAAGTTTATTAAGTGAAAGTAAGGACTATCTTAGTTTATGGTTAAGTGGGATTTTTATGGTTTGTAGCTTTGCAAAGAACTGAGAAGGGGGCATGTTTTCCATGGATGGAATGAAGGAGCTATTGACTTTGCACCAACATACAAGTATGAAATGAATTCAGATAAATATGTGGGTGAAAATCCAAAAGAAGGAGAGAAGAGGAGAACACCTGCATGGTAAGTAGTTACATATACTCTCTTTGTTATGAGATTCCTACTAAAAAGTAGTTATTTTGACCTCAAAAGTCAAAGTTTATGTACTGAATCAACCCAAATATGCAGGTGTGATCGCATATTATGGTTGGGAAAAGGCATAAAACAGCTTTGCTATAATCGAGCAGAAATGAAGATGTCAGATCATCGACCAGTGAGTTCAGTTTTTGTGATTGAAGTTGAAGTGTTTGACCCACGAAAGCTACGAAGAGCCCTAAATTTGACTAGTGCTGCAGTGCATCCCGAGATCATATTAGATGAAGGGCTGGAACTATAGCTCTAGTAGCATCATGAACATTATTAGTTTATAATTACTATACATTTTTGATCCTGAATTTTGGTAGGATTAACATGATATAGATTGGGAGATGGTCTTTTTTTTTTTTTTTTTTTTTGCAAAATTCTAAGAAAACAAAATCCACCAGTTAAGGAATAAGGTGGAATACAGTGTGTATAGAATTTGAATGAATTGTATTTGTTTATATGGATATTGAATGGAAATCATATATGGTTTCTGGATTTGTGCATACATCTTGAATAAGTTATTGTCGTTTGGATTTGTCTTTTTTTATGTAGATTCATCTTATGACATTACAAATGATTAAATCGACAATTTTATATGATGTTTGTCTCTCCGGCACTAGTCGATAGCTTTGTACTATGTCTATGGATGCTATGAATTATTATGATTATAAAAAGACACCAATTGGTAGAAGAACATTGATTGTTTAGATAATTTATATTTATATAACTATATATGTATAACAAATCAGATCTTGTATAGGCACCGGCTTCGCTTATAAATATAAACAACCGACATTGATTGCTTAATAGATAATTATATCACATATCCAATTTCAATTTGGCTGATGTGGTACCTTAATATTGTTTTCTACTAGTAAATTTTTTAACAAATTGAAAGATAAGAATACTACAGTCATAATCGGTGAAGCTATTATTTTTTTATGTAATTATTACGGTAGTATCAAACACATTCCATACACACACAAAATAAAAATAAAATCTAGGAGATAGATTTTTGGTCGAAAAGGTATTAAGGAAGAAGTAAGGAACATTTTTAATTAATTTTTTTAAAAAAAAGTTTTAACGAAAATTAAAAAATAAATACCATGAACTCATAAAATAGCATTATGATGGAGAAAACATTTTTATTTATTTTTGGAATATAAAAAAATAATTTAGTTGAATTTGAAAATTTTCTGAAAATATTAATGTTTTCACATATTATATAAAGGAAAATAAAATCTATATATATATATATATATATATATATATATATATATATATCATATAAAGCTAGCATTTTTCCTTAAATCCTATGCATTTGATACTTCCCAGACTATTCAACTTATATAATTTAATTTATGATTAATTGAAATGTTGTGATTTGTAACTTCCAAAACTCTTCAAATCATGTTATTTAATTGATGAGTTAAATGAAATAGGTAGCATATATAAGAACATTGTAGCTTGCATATTGCATGTATGTCAATTTCAAAAGAATAGATTTATTGGTAGAGTTTGAATATTTATGTGAGTGGTTCTATGGATGTAAGAGAGCAATTGCAACTTTTCCAAATGTAAATGCAAGTAAATGCAAATTTGGGGCATTTAAAGTTTTATATATTAACCAAGCTTCAAATTTGGGTATGTGTGTAAAGGTATACTTGAGAAAAAAAAATTATTTTATGTGTTACGGATCTTTTTATAATCACAAGATGATGAAGTGAGACTGATAATTACTTATCATGAGCTTTTGGTAAATCAACCTTTAAGCTATTTATTAGTTAGAACAATTAACTTTGTCAACATGTATGTATTTTTATGTCATCTTTCTTTTTTATGTTAAGACAATCCATTTTTCTATCCAAGAGAACATTATTCAACATGTATTTTATGTTATTAGTTACATACTATGTTAGTTTTTATCGTTTATTTTGTTGTAAATAACATTGATGGAACTTTTGATAATTGATTTTGTTAAATATGATATGGCTTTATTGTTGTAACACCCATAAAGTTCAAGCCAATTTTAAACTTTTTAATACATTTAAAAACCATTAAGTGATTATAGTTTGTTTTCAAAATAGTTTAAAACATCAGAGTATTCCCAGCATCCAATCATAAAACCATGAAATATGAGGAGCTGTACGATCACGCATTTGCCTTCCTGTGATCATCTGATGTATCTGAAACAATAAACTGAAACTGTAAGCCCGAGGCTTAGTGAGTTCCCCTAAAATACCGATACACCTACCATCCGCATAACAATAACAATAATACCATAACATAACAAAACAGAACAGCATGCAACGGGTCCACAACTTTACAGACTGGATTACCCCTCTAGGCCCTCAGTGAGATTCTGGATTGCCTTACGGGCCCACAGCTCACATCTGGATTGCCATTGAACCCCCAGTACGAGTCTCCCTCAGCTCGTAACTGGAATGCTCCCGAGCCCACAGTACGAGTCTCCCTCAGCTCATATCTGGAATGCTCCCAGGTTTGTTGGTTACCGCACGGAGCAGTGTCACCTCAACCCATCCCACATAATATATCAACATACATCATAACTAATGTGCATACAAATAATCACATAACAACACAGGTAGTCCTACAGATCTACCTAACTGGCATAGCAACTAGCATGCAACACTAACTCATACTCAACATATCAATAACTACCCGGATATCAATCCGGAGGGACCGATCTACTGTCGTAGACCCTGTCAGTATAGTGAGGAGAACTCACCTGACACTGCTGAAGTCCCGCGGATAAAACCCAGCTGCTGGTTGACAAATTCCTGAACTGTCAACATCAAACAACACCCAATTAATAATTGGGTTCCAAGCCCAAGGTCCAAGTCACACTACAACAATCCAATAGTCAAGTAATGGGCCAAAGCCCAACATATGGCCCAATTTTCCAAATTGGGCCCAGACCTCTTCATGGTCTTTCCTTAAGGCCCATGATATTATTCCAATCCAATTCCCATGGCTCATTATCACATAATCATAAAGGCCCAATTATGGCCCATCTATGGCCCAATTTTCCAAATTGGGCCCAAGTCCTCACATGGGCTTTATCCTAAAGCTCATCTAATTACTTTGGTCCATTAACTTGTTCTTGGATGGCCCATCAGTAGTCCAATCGCCAAAACCCAATAAGAAGGCCCAAACAAGGCCCAAGTGAAATTAGGGTTTTCACATGAAATGACGATTAGGGTTAAGTGCTCCTACTTCACCCATTAAGGACTTAATCTATAAATGACTTAATCTATTAAGTCCATCATTGCCTTAGGTTGATTTACAGATGATTATAATTTATTATTTTAAGTTTATTAAATAATTCTCGTGTGTGTCCCGATCAATCCCCAAAAATTAGGGTTTTAAGCCATTAGGGTTTTCCAAACCCTAATTAGGGTTTCCTACCCAATATTAGCCCATTAATCAATTGGTTGGGCGTTTAGGTCACTTTGGGCTTCTTTGAGCCCATTAGGGTTCCATTGGGCCCACTAGGGTTTCATTGGGCTCATTCTTGTCCAATCATCCCAAACGAGGTCCAAACGTAATCAAAGCACACCGCCACCCGACGCGGCAGCCGGTGGCGGCAGGAGGCGGTAACCACCACCCTACGGTGGTGGTTTAGACTTTTATTTCATTATTCCCACGCTATTAAAACTTACAACAATACTCAACACACACACTCACATAAAACTAACACCCACACTAATTACACACACACACAGCCGCACCATGGCAACAGGCGGTGGTAGAGGGTGGCAGCCACCACCTCACGGTGGTGGTGGTGACCCTTTTGATTCCATATTACACAACCCACACATAACACGCCCTAAAAACGGAGACACGCCCAAAAACACTTCTGTTTGCGAGATAAATCCAGCCACCCACCTGGTGGCTCACGGCGGTGACAGCACGGATCTAGGATGACAGCAGCAACACAAGCGGCAACACGGAGGCTGACGGTAGCGGTCGGGATCTGTGACATCCAGAAAGAATGGAGAAGAGAGAGAGAGAGAGAGAGAGAGAGAGAGTGTGTGTGTGTGTGTGTGTGTCTGTGTGTGTGTGTATTTGTAACAGCTACACACGCACATGAAGCATACATCACGTAGTCACTAACTCACGACGGCATACGCTAGTCGGAGTAAACTGGTCCGCCACTTGGAGCGGAGGTGATGAGAGACAACGAAGCAGAAGAAGGAGAGTACAGCGAGGAGGTGGTGGCGACGACTGTAGGACAGTCTAACAGGAAAACGGCGACAACAACACACAAAACTTTGCTTCCCGGTAGTCCTCGTTGTCGCCGGCAGCTGTGGATGCGACTTCGACAGAAGAGGAAGCTGCGACGCCGGAGATCAGAGGAAGAAGGGGGTAATGGCGGCTGGAGGGACAAGGGTGGAGAGGGTGGTGACGGCTGGAGTTGTATTAGGGCTAGGGTTTAGATGCAATAGAACAATTATACCCGCTTCATTTAACTAGGATCCATATTTGTCAAAAGTGATCCCTCCTTCTCCTTTTCCTTTCAAATTAAGTCCAAAAATTACCATTTATCCCCTGACTCCATAGAATCCTTTCAATATAAGTCCAACAGATACCCATTACACCCTGCCTTCTAAAACCCTTACAAAATAAGTCCCGATTTTATACTTTAACCCCCGAACTAACATCCTGATAATTATTATTTGATTTTTAGGCTACAATAATATAAAATAATAATAAAATTACTCCTCGGGGTCCCGGGTTTATTATTTAATTATTTTATTTTAAACGGGGTGTTACAATTGTTGATACCCAAGGATTATTTATATGTTATAAAAATACCTTCATGATGTTCTCGTAAAATTAATATGTATGTATCCGTTTTTTAAATGTTTTATAGTTATAAAAATGAGTACTCTGTTATATCTTATTACATTAGTCAGTTTCCTTTTTCTTATGCGTTGTTCACCGTAAAGTTAAAGTGAAAATAAAGAAAATATTAATACCTTTCTAAGAAAATATAAGTGATAAAAGTATACTTCATGTCTAACACTCCTTACTCCCTAATCCACTCTTAACATTTTTTTTTAATTGGTTTTAATACTTAACAAATGTTATAGCTTTGAATTTCAAATCATTATTTTACTTAGATTCCCTTCCAATATTTCATAGTTTCTAAGGACAAAAGTAAAAAGTATAATACTAAAGTAAAATAACTTTTTTTTAAATATAATAATGAAATTTTTCCAAACAAATAATTTTTAATTAAGTAAAAATAATAATAGTTTGAAATAAAGTAAAACTACAAAATAGATTATATTATATTAAAAAATGATTGTTATTTGAAATAATAA